TTACGGTCATATAACGTTGAAAAATTCCGTTCTCGTAAGATCACCAAAGATAAGCAACTTCGAGACTGGCCAGTACCTAAATGGGTGACCGACTGGAAATACCAGCTGCTGTAAGCATTAATGTGCGTATTGTGTAAAGGATAACGGCTGAGAATTGGAAATTGTAGAGCCGAATTCTACTTCCAGTCGGGTTCGCTGTATACATTTACGCAAAAAGGCCCTAGGGGAAGGAATTAATGCAACTCTTCTCTCCCCAGATATGGGTTAATTAGTATGACTTTTATCACTAACATACTTATTATCTAAATAAAAAATTAAAATTCAAAAATAATTTCTGGCTTTAAATAAACATGTAAAGGTTGATAAACCGTAAAAATGTAAATCAATCAATCCGCCTTCATTGAAAGCTTCTTACCTAACCAGCCGTGAGTTTTCCCTTTCACCTCATCATTATTCCAAACCTGCTATTCTAGTTTGATGTGCACAAAGTCTGACAGACCAAGCATTTTGCACAGTGATTTCGTTAGGTTAGAAACTGCCCTAATAGTTTTTTTATAGCTTACAGGAAGACTTTCAAATAATATTATAATATGGAATCTTCTGCCAGCTGTAAGGAAACCATCATCCTTATTCACAGTAGCAGCTTACTTACCTCTGCAGAGATTCTTATAAATGTCAATTTCTAATTACTCTCTAGGATATATTAACGCCACTGATTCATCTCATTACTGTGCTTACATCCCGTTCAGCCTTTCCACAAACATTTACTAAGCGTTTTTAAAATTATACGGAGCTATCGTCTCCCAAAAAGAAAAAAAAAGTAAAAATTTTCAGGCGATAAATTAATTTACACAGTGCAAGATCCGTTGGCAAATATTCGTGTCATTATATTGTTTCATTATTGTCATTATATTTTAACGAAAACCCATCCGTAAAACCGAAAAAAAAATCTCTCATTATTTCACACATCTATTCCAGCGTTGCGTTCACTTTTCAGAAACTGTGTGACAAGACTAATTTAGACATCCACATCATCTCTCACGTATCTTCCTCCTGATTCTTATAAACAGCATTTAAATGGTTATTTAAAATTTGAGGTGATGTGATGTTTAAAGAAAAGCCTCGTGAAGTTATAACTAAATAATAAATAAAGTTTCAGTGCACTGTAATCGTAACAAATTACGTTCTATTCTTATCAAAACCGCCTTTCATCGAAATTATAAACAAACACCTTTAAATTTATGTAAATGAATGTATTTGACGGCATATAAAATGCAAAGGTGTAAAAAATGCACATCAATTTTAGCAGAACAAATCAAGAAAAAAAAATAGTAATTAGTAAAATTATTAAATTATTAGTAAATTGTACAGCCTAGGCTATATTTATGAGGTATTATTTTGGGTAAACAAGCCATAATTACAATTAAACGAAAAATAGTAGCAAAAAAGAATACGAGCCTATAAAAACTTTATTATGTCAAAAGGTAAGAAAACAAAATAAAAATCAAGCAATTATTACAGTTAAGCAAAACAGTACAGTTACCATTAAAATTTTATTCATCTTCAAATCCATAAAATTCGTCGTCTTCGTTATCAAAACTCTGTTACACATTTCCAATACTACTAGCATGGAATAATTAGGATATTAAAATTCTAATTGTATTTATACAAATGCAACCGGAAATTATCGCAAGAAAAATATTAATGAAATAAATTTTTTTTACAAAAATATAATTTGAATGTATTGCATAAAATTTTAGTGAAACAAAATACTAATATTAAACGTGATGAAATTAATATAATGAATATTATCACTGATAACACTTTTAATCTGCATAATATCCTTTTAAATAATGACAATAGGTATATGAAAGTTACTCTAAAGTCTAAGCTAATAGGAGATGGCAAGTAGCTAATTTCAGCCAACCACTGCGATTTTTAAACCTATATATGGCATATAAGAAAAATTTTAAATGATATTTTTAGTAAAAAAGTGCGCCTTATATGACGTCCAATACGGTAATATGGGTAAATATGTGGAAAGATTATATAGATGGAAGTAGAAAGATTGATATTAATAAAATTATATAGATAAAGATAAATACCTATATAGATAAATAGACAGACAGACATTGCTTTTGAACACAGATTTTTCCTGATTCTGGAAATATACATATTTCCTCAGATTCCTTTTCTAACATTAACAAAGTTATTTTTAGAAGAATATATCCTTCCCTGATAATTTTCTCTGTTTATATTCGGATACGAAACTAACCAGATACGCATATATCAAGAATATGGAAAAATCTGTGTTCAAAAGCACAATTCGGTTTTTTCATATTTTTTTTTTTTATTGACCAGAAAGATTTCAAGGTTAGATAGATAGATAGATAGATAGATAGATAGATAGATAGATAGATAGATAGATATAAGAAAGATAGATATAAATAGATTGGGTTAGATAGAAATGAACAAACTGTGATATATACATAGATATGAAGCAACGGTGATAATCGGTTACTAGATAGATATAAACAAACAATGATATATATATATATATATATATATATATATATATATATATATATATATATATATAGATAGATAGATAGATATGAACAAACGGTATCAGAAAGATATAGATTGGGTTAGATAGATATGAACAAAATGTGATAGATATATACATAGATATGAAGCAACGGTGATAATTGGTTACTATATATATATATATATAAAAACTATGATAGATAGATAGATAGATAGAGAGATATGTCAAAGTTATCATTCAATCAAGCGTATATTTTTTACACAATGAAACAGCATATCCCGGAGATATGGAGAAACTAAAACTATAAACCCTTTCTTCAAATTCATCTGAATGCATTATTCGTAAGTAATCGTGAAATCTTTTCTCGGAATCTGCTAACATTTCTCTTTCGCCAACATTTCTCTTTCGCCAACATTTTTCCGTTTCAATTTTGCAGTTTTCCGCCTAAACTACATTTGTTGTAAGCGATATATTTTTTGAAGATTAAGCCCTAAATGTCGCTATTCTCTTTTTACACTAAACAGGTATGCTGTGCATCAAACCCAAAGGGTGGCATTGTCTCTGGTCAGGAAATTATACAAGCGTTCAGACTGAAAAGAGACACAATAACTGAAACATCCTAATGTTTAAAAAAAGATGTTTGAACAGGTCAGTCGAATCTGATGTTTTTTTTTAAACATTAATATAATTCTTTTATTAATTATTTCTTCTCGTACAATTTACATTTATCCCCGAGGCTTAAAACTCCATTTTATTAATCCTGAGAAAATAAACAAAATATCAGCATTTTTATTTTGCTTTTTCTAATAGCTAATCAAGATTTTGTCATTTTCGACGTCTTTTTTTTTTGTTTTTAATCATCTCACCCCAAGCAAGGCGGAAATGCCACTAGTGCGCACAGGGAGTGAAAGTGAAATAAGAGACTATGGATAGGGAGGATTGAGTAAAGGAAACACAAAGAAGAGGATTCAAGAAGACAGAGAGTGGTGATTGAAATTCATTTAAATTATTCAAGATTGTAGTTATCAGGGAAGCAATTAAACAGAAGCGCGAGAAAAGAAAGTTAGAGTAGAATTGGCGCTTGTATTTGGCTATTTAAATAAGATGCCGATCTAATAGCAAGCTTAAATTCACGTAGTTGGGACACCAAGGAAACAAGTTCGTCAGAGTAGTTACCATAAAAATATTTGTAGAAAAGACGGAGGGAAAAGACGTCACGTAAATGAGAAACTCAGCAGGATCACCAGACAACATACGACAACAGTATTCACTGTATGGACGAATGGTAGATTTGTAAATGTACAAGATGTATTCTGAGGATAAACATTTTTTTTCTGGCATGACACGGTTACCCAAATTTTCTTGCGGTAGATACTGTTATTGATCGGATGTCGTCGTTCAACTTTGAGTCAGTCGAAAAGTTGAGGCCGAGAAGACGCAGTGTATTGCTCTCCTGAAGTCTGATGGCAGACAGAAAAACATCTCTGTGGTGGTTTATTCACCTTTGTTGATTTTATCAATACATTTTCCGAATGATGCATAGGCTTCTCAAACGAAGAATGACGGTAAAAATAATACAATTTTTAATATAGGTCGATTTAACAGTGCAGTGCTTGTAAATGAGAATAAAGTATGATATAATGAAGAAAGCTATATTCAATAATTATGTGATATAACGGACTGATAGGCAATGATGTTTTGGACATACCACATTCCTTGCAATATATCTCACTTTGACCACTACGAAGGTTTCACCTAAGCGGATCTTTTGGGAATACTGGACGATTTTTTCTAGTTTAACGTCCATGTTTTTGGTTATTTCTTTTTTTGTACCTTTTTTCCCTTTGGTATTGGCTTGTTTATTCAATCAATACAACGAAGGTTTTCCGAGTGAGTATAGTTTCTTATACTTATAAGATCTCTATTATTAATAATAATAATAATAATATATATATATATATATATATATATATATATATATATATATATATATATATATATATATTACTTCCAACAAAAATCTAATTTAAGAAAAATTCACTCAAGATCAAGAATGAGCTCTTTTTCATGCCAATCATCGCGAGCAAACAGATGCATGGTATTTGGAGGCCACTGTTTGACGATAATCCAGACAGAGTACTTTAAGTGAGTCAAAACAATAGCTTTAATGACCAATATAGTAGTTCTGAAAAGACCGTAAAAGTTCTCAATCAAATACTTCTCTTTAAATTCCGTCGATATCTCGTTTTTTTTTTAACATACGCGGATCCAGCTATGGCACTTTTTAGTTATAAAACCAGGGTTCCTTACAGTCACCACATACAATGCGGACGGGTTCGCGATGAACAACCTACGAGTACTTATTTTTTTCCATATCAGTCCTTGGTTAAAGATAACATCCAACAAGTAATAGAGCAAACCAAGCTCCTTGAGACTTCTGAGTTTGATTAAAAAGCATTTCCAACGCATCGCACCGTCATATCGATCATTGGCGTGGCGGAAGATCCCTATTTTCATCGGGGTGTCATTGTCTAATCCACTTGTAGACCTTACATCTAATGGCCCTC